CCTCCTACTTACGGTTCCCATGAAGCTGGGATCACAGATATGTGCCAGTGTGCCTGGCTTGTTTGTTGAGATGAGGGTCTCCCTAACTTTTTTTTTTAACCAGGGCTGGTCTTGAACCTTGATCCTCCTGATCTCTGCCTAAATAGCTGGGATTACAGACTTTCATTTTAGGCTACGCTTATCACATCTAGTTTAAGAACTGTTTCACTATCCTGTGAGCATAAAGAAGATAGTATATGTTACTTTATTTATATTTGTTTATTTATTTATTTATTTATGGTGGGACTGGGGTTTGAACTCAGGGCTCTCTCTACCACTTGAGCCATACCTCCAGTCCATTTTGCTCTGGTTATTTTGGAGATGGGGTCTCTTGAACTGTTTGCCCTGACTGGCCTCGAAACTTTATCCTCCTGATCTTAGCTTCCAAATAGCTAGGCATGAGCCACTGGCACCCAGCTCTATATTGCCTTTTAAAGGTGTATAATTCTAGCTGGGTGTAATCCTAGCTAATCTGGAGGTGGAGGCCAGCCCCAGAAAAAAGTTAGGAAGACACCATCTTAACAAAAAAAAGGCTGAGCCTGGTGGTGTACACCTGTCATCCCAGTTAGGCAGGAAGCATAAGTAGCAGGATCACCATCCAGGCTGGCCTGGGCCAAAAAGTGAGACTTTGTCTCACAAATGACCAAAAAAGCTGGGCACTAACGGCTCACACCTATAATCCTAACTACTCAAGAGTCAGAGATCAGGAGGATCACAGTTCAAAGCCAGCCTGGGCAAATAGAGCGTGAGACTCTATCTCAAAAATACCCAACACAAAAGAAAGGTGGCAAAGTGGCTCAAGTGGTAGAGCACCTGCCTAGCAAGTGTGAGGCCCTGAGTTCAACCCCAAGTACCACCTAAAAATTAAAAATAACAAAAGCAAAAAGGGGTGTGGGTGTGACTCAAGTGATAGAGCACAGCACCTGTGTAGAAAGTGCAAGGCCCTGAGTTCAAACCCCAGTACTACCTATACATACACACAAAGTTCTATACTTCTGCATCTTACTACAAGTGAAATAAATGTGGTAAAGGATTGAGTTTCTTTTCTTTTTTGTGGTACTGGGGCTTGAACTCAGGGGCTACACCTTGTGCCACTCCACTATCCCTTTTATGTGATTTTTTTTTTTTTTTGAGATAAGGTCTCTCAAACTATTTGCCTGGGCTGTCTTCGAACTACAGTCCTCCTGATCTCTGCCTCCTGAGTAGCTAGGTTTACAGGCGTGAGCCAGCAACGCCCAGCTCCAGCTTCTTTTGAGGTAAGATCTCACTAACTTTTGCCTGGGTTGACCTCCAATCTGAATCCTCCTTCCTCCCCCTCCTCAGTAGCTAGGATTATAGTTGTTCAGTATCTTTTTTTGCTTTCCCCCAATGCCTGCCCCAAATGTCTTTCTTTTAAAAACATCTCAATTTATAATTTGGCTGGGGATAGAATTCTAAATTCCAAATAATGTTTCCTGATGTGGTATACAATTGATGAATATATAATCCTAAAATAATCGGTTTCTTCCACTCTTAATGGACTCTGCTAGTCTGGACAATACTGGTAAATATTTTATGACTTTATAATACTTACCATTTTTATTTTATATGTTTCTTATTTATTTTTTTGGTGGGGTTGGGGTTTGAACTCAGGACTTTATACTCGAAAAGCAGGTACTCTACTGCTTGATCCACACCTCCAGTCCATTTTGCTCTAGTTATTTTGGAGATAGGGGTCTTATGAACTATTTGCCTGGGCTGGCCTCCATTCTTGATCTTCCCAGTCTCAGCCTCCCAAGTAGCTAGCATTACAGGTGTGAGCCACCTGTGCCTAGCTAGTAAGTTTCTTGCTTGATGCAAAATTCCAGTTGCAATGTTAGGAAGCTGATATTAGAAAGATTGTAAAATTTAGGCTTCAAGAGGGAACTCAAATAAACAATCTTGGTAGCATTCTTGAGTTGAAAGGAAAACACGTATTTTATATACAATGCTTTTTCATTTAAAAGAAGTTAAGATTTCAAACGATTTCCTCTCCAAATACTGATATTGCTGCATGCTTTTCCAGCCTCCTTCACTTGGTTGCCAAACCATTTGAGGCTCGTTTTTTTGTAGGTGATCTCTGAGCAAGGATTTTAGGGACCTTTTGCTGGTGGCGTGGGGTACTCTACCACTGAGCTATATATATCCCCGGCCCCGGGACTTTTTTTTTTTCTTTTCTTGGTCTGGGTGGGGAGGGGTAGTAAGCAATATAATTTATTACCAGGGCGTTCCTTGGATATAGCACATTTCTGGAAAAAGACTGTTGGCACCAATCACGCCATCACATGCCAAAAAAAATCCTACAGAATCTGAAATGCTGACAGGAAGTCTAGATCCATTGGAAAATATCTGCAAATTGCAAAAAATTCTTTTTATTCCAGCTGACATGATGAAGTGACTAAATCCTTTGGCCACCTTTAAAGCTTGTGGTAACTAGACCCCAGTGGCTCACACCAGTAAATCCTCCTGGTTACTCAGGAGGTGAAATCAGGAGGATCTTTGAAGTCAGCCCTGGCAAACAGTTTGAGAGACTTCCTCTCCAAAATAACCAGAGCAAAATGGACTGGTGGTGTGGCTCAAAAGGTAGAGCACCTGTTTTGCAAGCAGGAAGCCCTCAGTTCAAAATCCAGTCCCATAAGGAAATAAGAAGATAAAAGTAGAAAGGCAGGATAACTGTTACAATTGAGATATTTATCCTATTTATTGTGGTGCTGGAGACTGAACCCAGCATTTTGTGCAGCTGAGGCAAGAGCTCTATCACTGAGCTACCTCCTCCCCTCACCACAGTCCTGTCTTAAAACATGTCTACGACCCCAAAGAGCTCCCTCGTGCCAGTCTGCAGCAACTCTTCATGCTCAATCCCACATCTCCTTTCTGTCTCTACAGAGGTCTGCCTGTTCTGGATTTTTCATATGAATGGGACAGATCATACAGCATGTAGTCTTTTGGGTCTGGCTTCTTTCACTTAGCATTAAAATGTTTTTAAATTGGGATATAATTGCATACAATAAAATTTCAAGTACTTTCTCTATGCTCAGTTATGAAATTCTACAAGGATGTGTTAAGCATGGTCTCTCCCCTCCCCCATTCTTTTGGGCACTTCATGTACACTCTTCTGCATCATTTGAATTTAAAACATTCCTTTCTTGCTCTTTTTCTAAAATGCCTTTAGTGAAATGGTTCAGCCCTATCTCTTGTCTTTGTTCTCTCTCTCTTTTTTTTTTTTGGCGGTACTGGGGTTTGAACTCAAGGCCTCACATTTGATAGGCAGGCACTCTTCCCCTTGAGCCATTCCATTTCCCTTTGCTGTGAAGGGTTTTTATGAGATAGGGTCTCGTGAACTATTTGCCTGGCTGACTTCAAATCTTGATCCTCCTGATCTCTCCCTCCAGAGTAGCTAGGATAATAGGTGTGAGCCACTGGCGCCTGGCCTTTTTCTTTCATTTTGTATTTGCCTCAATCATTGACTTCCTCAACTTTATTTTCTAATTCATTTCTGACATTGTAAAACCTGGAAGTTAAATTTCTAATTTCTTAGAGCTCACTTTTGTTCTCTGTTACTTTATTAGAGGGCCATAATTTGGTTTTATGAATACAGTATCTTCTTGAGACTCTTTGAGTGCTAATTAAGAAAAATTAAGCAGGACATGGTTGTGCACATCTGTAATCCCAGCACTCACATGGCAGAGGCACGGGGATAGTGAGTTCCAGGCCAGCCAGAGCCACATAGCGAGACCCTATCTCAGAAACAAAACAAAAATCATCTATCTTCTGTTTTCTACCTTTTGTTTTACCAGTAGGTGGGGCAGGGAATGGAGGAGGGGCAGGGGAGCCGGTGAAACTGCTTCTCAGTGGACCCACAGTGGATCCCTGTGTCCTGGTGCCTTCTCATTAGTCGGGAAGCCTCTGGAGGGTTCTTCCTTCTCCATGGTGCCCCTCTGACTGGGGCTTCCTTCTCCAAAGTCTGCTGGAATGGCAAGGCTCTGGAAACAATACCTAGGTTCAGATTTGGCCTTGGTCAAATTTTATTATTTATTATTATTATTTTACGATGCTGGGGATTGAACCCAGAGCCTTTCACATGCCAAACACGCTACCATCCCCAAACCCTTTGTCTTTTAAATGTCAATCTCACCTGTGAAACAGGAATAAAAGTAACTTCACTGAGTTGTTTGAGTTAATAAGATAGTGCATAACTATAGTCAGCGTTTGGCTTGGTAACACATAATAAAAGATTCAATATTTATTATGACCCATCATCAGTCACTCCACCTCCTGGAATTTGTTAAAATCTCTTGTCTTTGATAATTTCCCTTTGGAGAACTTTATAATTTGCTTATTCATGGTCTCAATTTCTTTGCGTCCATTTTAACAGCATCTCTGAAAGGAGATCATACAAAAAATGTGTGATCGAGTTCTTCACTATTGGGCTAGAACAACTTTAAAATGTTCATCTTTTTTAAAACTAAGTAGCACCATTTAGAGAACATTTGTACACCTAGTCTCCCTTGCCTCCTAGGCCCACATTGGTAATTGATTGGAAACTTTCTAAACAGAGAACTTTTATGTTCTATTCATGAAGACTTTATAAGTGTTGGGATCCAGTCCTAGCTAGGACAACATCACAAATTTGTTATGATCCGTGCTTTGTCGGATGTTTTCAGTCTACACTTCTGGTCTGATGAGGCGTATGTAATTGCCCAGCTTTCTTAGAGGTGGCGCTGCAGAGGAGGGTACAGCCGAGCGCTGTGCAGAAGACAGGCTTGTCCAGTAGGGGGCGTATCCCACGGGATGGGGCTCGGGCTTGGAGAGCCGTACGCAACGTCAGGGGCGGGAACGACTCTCGCCCCGCCCCTACCATCTGCGACGCCCTGTGATTGGAGGGACGAACTATCACTTGGCAGCGCCGTTGGGGTGGGAGGAAGAAGAGGGCTTCGGCCGAAGGTGAAGCTGAAGCGGGAGGAGGTGCGGGGAGCGAGGCTTTGGTGCAGCATTTCGGGCGCCCTCCCTCATCTCTCTGCGGTGAATGGCGGCGGGATGGAGCGCGAGGGGAGTGGCGGCAGCGAGGGGTCGGCGGGACTCCTGCAGCAGATCCTCAGCCTGAAGCTCGTGCCGCGGGTGGGCAACGGGACCCTGTGCCCCAACTCCACTTCTCTCTGCTCCTTCCCAGGTACGGCCCCGCCCCGCCCCGCGCCTGCGCACTGTGCGCTCCGCCGCCGCCGGCTCTGCCGAGCCCGGGGAGGAGGGGGAGGAGGGGAGGAGGGGGAGGGGGCGGAAGGGGAGAGGGGGGGCGTTGCTCAGCTCCTGCTCGAGATGGGTCACTCGAGAGCCCCTTCCAGCTCCTGGCACGCCCAAGCCGCCACCGCAGGTGGACCCGGTGACCCGAGGGGCCATTCTTGCTCTTTGGAGTTTGCGGGTTCAGAATCGCACCTGGCTCTTTTGGGGCGGGGGATGACGCCGGCCACTTCTCGGAAGGAACTCGGCCGGGGTCATCCTGGCCTGGGCGAGGGGCAGTCACACTTCCTTCGTTTCTAGCCTGTTGCCCAACCCTTCTTCTCCTATTGTGTATCTGCTCATCGCCGGCATCCGGTCCAAACCCACCCTTCTCCAGCTTGTCTTTCTAGGAACCATTTTCCGAGACCTGTTGCGGGTCTCCCACCCACGCGTTCAAAATCTTTGACACAGCTTCTTGTTTTTAACTCCCCTGCCCCCTACCTGAGCTTCTGATGGGTCTGGTAGGAGAGTTTTTATGATGCAAAGTAGAGCTATCTGCAGTGCTCAGAAAGTTGATAGGAAGGGTTACCTCCCATGGTAGAAGAAGATTAATAAAGGCTTTGAGCTATTTGTGTTGGGTCTTTAAAGGTAAGCGACGGATCCGTAGTGACTGAAGCGGGAGTGTGGTGGGGGTGAGGAAGTTGGGGCCCTGGCAAAGTTGAGTGACACCTGACTTAGTTAACAGCTAGAGAACTGGGCCAAAGGACGTTGGATGGGGTTGCTGACTGCAGTCTGAAGGCGCCTGCGATTTCTCATGCACCCGGCAGCGACTGCCAGGCGCCTTTCGGGGGACACTTGGGACTTGTGTGTCGCCTGCCTAGCGATTTTCCTGCACAAGTAGCTGATAAGGTAATAGCCCGTGTTGGAGCAGGTGAAGATGTTAGCCTGTAATCAAGTGAGAATCTGTCAACATGATAGAGTTTACACAAACCTAGGTGGTGTAGCCTCCATTGTGATAGCATATTGTGGGACCCTTGTGATCTCTGACCTGACTTCCCTTCACAAGGACTTTTGTGATGACATTAGGTCCATTTGGAAAAGTCGAGATCATCTCTCCCTGGAAGACCTTAAAATAGTCACATCTGCAAAGTCCCTTTTGCCGTGGAAAGTAGTGTCTTCACAGGTTTGGGGGATGAGGATGTGAATATCTTTGGGGGCCCATTCTCCCAACAGTGCTTAATCTCATTTCTTTGTGTAACCTTTTATTACAGATTATTTGTCTGATGTATACTTCACAGGGGAGTGACTGACCTTTTCACTGCTGGTGCTGTGGTTTTAATGTGGCCCCTGAAGTTTATATTTGGCCTGTGATTGACAGAATTGTCATTATGCAAAGCATGACTCTTATCTTCTTAGGCTTCCTCTGTCGCACATGCATATGTGTGCATACATACATTTTAACTTTCTGTAAGCCCTTTTAAAGGAACTTATAGAAGTCATGGTATGTATCTTCTAAAACAAGGGCATTTTCTATCACAGCCACAAAATCATGTTTAACACTGATTGAATTGTATTATCTAATATTTATATTTACATCCTTGGCAAAATAGCTTTGGCAGTACTGGGGTTTGAACTCAGGGTTTTATGCTTGCCAGGCAGGTACTTTACCCCTTGAGTCACTCCCCCCAGCCCCCTCCCCATTTTTAAAATTTCAGTATCTACTCAGGGATCACACATTGCATTTAGTTGTCACATCTCTTTAATTTCACTTAACCTAGAACAATTCTTCCATTTTTGTTTCAGTTTCTTGAGACTGACATTTTTGAAGACCATCAGCCAGTTGGTTCATAGGAGGTCTCACAGTCTAGGCTCATCAGCTTCATGATTTGATTCAAATTAAACATTAGTAGTCAGTTTTTGCCTCTATTGATAATGCTAACTTTAATAATTTGGTGAAGATGGTGTCTGTGAGATCTCTCCACCTGAGTGTACCTTAACCTTTTCCTAAATAAAAGTCGTATGTGGGGTGATGCTTTGGAAATGAATATTCTGTTCCGTCTCTCTGGCTTTTAGTTCCCTTTTCTTTAAGAGAAGATTGACTTAAGTGAAGCTGGGATGATAGTTTCAGTATGTCATACTAAAGCATTTCTAGCAATGGGGATTGTTTGACTTTCAGAAATTGTTCAGAAAATACTCAATTACCGTATGTCCTGGAGTTTACCATTTTGTCTATGGATATGGAATGAGGACATTGATTACCAGGCATCATTCTTTCAGCAGCCACAGTCTCTGGGCTGGGGGCAGAAGCATGCAGGGGGCGTAGCCTTGACTTCTTGCCAGTCAGAACGTGGAGATAAACCCCTCCCTGCTCTGTCTCACTTTAGCAGGAATGCCGAGTATAGCAGGTACATGAAGTTTGTCCCTGTTTGAGGCATCAAAGTCTGCTTCACATGAATTTTATTCAGTGTCCCGAGTCTGGCATTGTTTCTATTTTGGTCCCATAGAAAAGGTTACTTGCAGTTTATGTCAGTGCATTATGGCAGAATCATTGCTCTGAAATACTCTGTGGTTTATCTCTACCAGGAAGTTTTGAATTGATTTTTTTTTTTAAACCTGCATTTGCAATTATACTGCTGCCTGACATTCCTCATTCTGAGTTATTGAGATTTGTTGTCTTTTGGGTTTGTTTGTTTGTTTGTTTGTTTTTGGTGGTACTGAGGTTTGAACTCAGGGCCTCACACTTGCTCTACCACTTGAGCCTCTCTGCCAGCCCTTTTGTGTGTGTGTGTGTGTGTGTGTGTGTGTGTGTGTGTGTGTTGGATATTTTTGAGATAGGGTCTCATTTTTTGCCTAGGCTGGCCTCGAACTGAGATCCTCCTGATCTCTGCCTCCTGAATAGCTAGGATTATAGGCGTAAGCTACTGGTGCCTGGCTACTTTTTTGGTTTTTTTGAGACACAGTCTCACTGTCTAGCCCAGGCTGGCCTTGAACTTGAAATTATCCTGCCTCAGCCTCCCCAGTGCTGTAATGAGAGTCTGCATCATACCTGGCAGTGTTTCCATCTCCTTTTTGTTGTCATTTAACAACAATCAAGAATGACATCCATTTTCTGAAGAAAAGGATTTCACTGAGTGAATCAATGTCAAAAATTCTATTTTGTGATAATTAAACTAAAAGCCAGTAATATTTTGGTCCTGGTGTTGCTGGAATCAAGAAAAGATCATACTTGAACTGCTCATTATTTTCATTCACTGAACAAATAGTGTCTGTAGTGTGCCTGTTGTCTTCTGGGTACCAAGCTAAGATACCTTGGTAAACAAAATGAAGCCCATTCCACATGGAGCTTTCAATCCATTGGGTAGGAAGAGGAGGAGGGAGGGATGAGAGAGGTATCGGGAAAGAGACTGAAAAAATATGGAATGGAACAGCCAGTGTAAGTGTGATACAAGATGAGGTGGATACTAAGTGGTATGGTGGCAGGGCATGTATATCAGGATGGAGTGCTGTTTTACATAAGCTATCAGGGCTGGGTGTGGTGGTACATAGCTATAATCCCAGCCCTCTGGAGGCTGAGACAGGAAGATCTGAGTTTCAGGTGGACTCGGGCTACATAGGGAGGCCTTCTCTCAAATAAGCAGAAAGTGATAAGGAAGCCCCTAAGGATGATAAGACTGGAACAGAAATCTGAAGTGAGGCACAAGCCAGGCAGCACCTGGGGGAAAAGTGTCTAGGCCAGGGAGCTGCAGATTCAGAGGCCCTGAAAGAGGAGCTTATTTAAGAATATCCATGGATATAGCTCAGTAGTGGAAGGCCTAGCATTACAAGAGACTGGGTTTGATTTCCCCTATGCTGTCTCCCACCACCACCCCTGCAAAAAAAAGAAAATCGATGAGCTAGAAGTGTGGCTTAGTGGGAGAATGCTTGCTTAAGATCCATAAGGCCTTGGGTTTATCCATGGTAAGGGGAAGGGAGAGAGAAAAGTCCAGTGTCCTGGATGGAACACGTGGGCAAGGGAGGGAGGCAGTGAAGTCAGATGCTGGATGGAGGGCAGTACCAGGGAGTTTTGAGCCAAGGAAGGATGATTTTCTGTTGTACTGGGACTTGAACTCAGTGCCTACACTTGAAGCCACTCCACCAGCCTTTTTATGTGATGGGTTTTTTCAAGTGTACAATCCAGTGGTCTTTAGTATATTTCAGAGTTGTACAAGTATCACCACAATCAATTTGAGAATATTTTCATCACTCCAACAAGAAACTCCATTCCCAACTACACTGAGTGATGAATGGCCCTATGTAGAGACTAGATGGAAGGCTCTATAGGACAGACAGGTATGGCCAGATTGGTATGAAGAGAACACCAAAACCAGGGGTGGGAGGCAGGTCAGCTGTAGTATCAGCACTTGATAGTCCTGAGGGCAAGTCATCCTTGTAGGGAGCAGAGCAGGAACAGATGGATCTCCTGGCAGGTAGAAGGGAGTTGGCAAGAAAAGAGCCTCCCAGTGGATGTGGAGAGATGCAGGCTGATGGGCCAGGAGCATCAGAGCAGCCCAGCTCCAGCATAGAGTTGCAGGATGATCGGACTCCAATCCCAGGAGGACAGATGTGATCTACTTAAAACCCTAGCTTTTGAGAAGCTGGCCCAGTTTACCCAGTTTGACCTGGAACATAGGGTCAGAGTGGAGCCAGCAGAAAAGATGGCTGCCTGCTTGGTCTGGGCTCCTTCCATTCCTACTGATTGGGGTGGTCTTGAGGCCTTGCTTAGAAGTTAGGTAACTCAGCTGTGGAGGCTAGACCAGAGAATAAAAGCCCTTTTGTTAATTCAGAATTACCTAGAGGACTCTGTTCTCCATGTGGCTTTTCTCTTTCACTGAAATATCTGTCTGAAAACATTCCTTTGCTAATTTGGTTTTCATAAATGTTAAGTGTAAATCACTTGACTTTTTTAGTGGTATCGGT